GGGGGCTAAACCTGTAAAGTCAAAATTCGGCTCAAAATTATGGGATTTGAGTTGTAGGCTTTTTTAGCTTCCCCAGCATCTCCTACAACTATTCCATGGCATAAGAACCCTAAAAGCCTACTTTTCCCCTTACCGGGCATGTTTGTCACCGCCATTTCCTCATAAAGTCAAAATTTTATTTTTCTTTATCGGCCGTTTTCTCAAAATGCCATTTTTCTCTATACTTTTTTGAGTAACTCCCCCATTTTTCGTCCAATCTTCATGAAATTTTCACAGAGCGAAGAGACGAAGACGTAATATTAAAAATTTGTTTGTTGAAATTAATTTTGATATATGGAATAGATTTTTGTTGGTGGTATCCGGAGTGTGGATTTTTTGCGGATTTTTCGCAAACTTTAATACTACCTCAGGAAAAAATTCAAAGAAGGTTTTCTAATTCGTTTAGGGAAAAAACAAAAGGCAAATTTTTAGATCTAATGTTTACTAACATGCATGCAAAAAAAACCACACAACCAATTTCCATAAAAAATAAGTGCGGTATTCATTACGTAAGACATATCAACTAAATCCAATATGGCCGCCATATCATGGAAACGAAACTTTTTTCTCAACTTTGATTGCGGATTTTAAGACTCCTTACTCTGTTTGTTATATGTGCGAAATTTGTTACAATTTGATCTGCTAATAAGCGAGATAGCCTTCAGGTGTAGCCCCCACCCCCTCCCCTTAATTTCACTTGTATTATTACGATGGGCAACCACAAGTTCAACAAAACGCTATGAAGGGACGTAACTCTGTATTTAGTTAATTGTCTTCATTAGAGGACACAGAACCTGTGGTTATATCCCTTCGTTAAAAACCTAATCATGGTACAGAGAGTCAAAGTTTTCCTGCTGATCAGAAAACTAACAAGAATCTAGTCTAAACAGAAACGCAAACCAACAATTATCTAGAACAGCTTGATGAGCATACTCGGGTACATAATAATGTATACTCCAGTAGTATGTGTGTGTGTGTGTGTGTGTGTGTGTGTGTGTGTGTGTGTGTGTGTGTGTGAGAGAGAGAGAGAGAGAGAGAGAGAGAGAGAGAGAGCACATTAAGCAGTCGAATTCCTATGAGAGTGAGATAGATAGATAGATAGATAGATAGATAGATAGATAGATAGATAGATAGATAGATAGATAGATACATAGATAACAGACAGACAGACATATAGATAGATAAAGCGA